TGGTATATTGGACTTTGATTGTCGTTTGTCATAAATATGGTCAATATTTTGGGGCGACTTTTATATTGTCTAAATAAATTTTTTTTTGTGTGTGGCCATAATTAACAAGGAACTAATTTAAATATAAAACTTTGAATCCAAGGACAAAATTTGTGTTACATAATGTTGTGTTACATAAGGACGGGAGAGAACTCCAAAGCATAGTTGTTTAGAGAAAAACTAAATAAATAAAAAGTTTTTGAGCATATAAGGTTAGTTGCAGTAAAAAAATGTAAATGTGTTTGAAAACAAGTCATTCAAGCTATACAATTTTTGCAAATGGAGAAAGAGATAATAAAGATAAAAGTGATAATAGAGGTAAAAGCGATAATAGAGATAAAAGAGATAAAAATGGAGCAAGAGACAATAGTTTAATTTGAGCTACACAAATGAAAGAAAAAAATTGTACTTTATCAAAGTTTATTAATATTGGAGTTTCAAAATATATTGCAACAACTGTTAGCCAAAAAGGGTATTGTTAGGTTATGGATTATGAGCCACAGGCTGCTGCAGAAAAGGTATCATATTCTAGATTGACTTTTTTAAGCAATCATTAAGTGTAAACTTTTCATAAAGCAATTTTAAATGTAAAATTGTTAGAAAGAATGTTAATTTAGATTAGAAACAACATGCACAGTGGTCCAAATGGTGGACAAAATGAAAAAATTCAATTTTTAGGACTAAAAATATTTAATGAATTTTTTGAAACTAGAATGAAATTCGAATTAAATGCAAAAGACTAGAGGTCATTATCATGTCTGGTTAAGAAATGACAACCTTTTAAAGTTTTAAAAAAACATGTAAAAAAAAGTTCATACTGCAGTGTTCGATTTTTCACATATATTTTTGAATTTGAAATATATGCACCAGATTTACATTCAAAAATAAAAAATCTTTTATTTGCTAAGAAATTGAATGAAAAAATAAAAGTATTCATTTCAATATCTTTTTTTAACGTTTTAAATAAAAAAAATTTCTTTCTTTTCAAAAAATTGAATGGAAAAGTCGTTTCCGCAAAAAACAAAATTTCTTTTTTTGAGATATTTGAGGAAGTATACTTTTGTATACTTCCTCAAATATCTCAAAAATAAACTAAACCATATATTATTTGGAAACTGCATATTATTACCTGTATTTTGGTATGCCACATATATTGACCAATCACCCGGATTTTGAATTATGTGTGGTTATAAAAAAATGTTTTATTGTTTGTCTAAGCATGTATATGTAAATTTTTAAAAAGACAAAATACAAGGATATGCTCAAGTTTTATTTTTTCATTTTATATAAACAAAGTATTAACAATGTCATTTTCGTGTACTTTGAAGCATGTTTTTTTAATATGCCATATCTAACAGCACAATTTGTTCCGTTGCTCGGTAACTAAAGGATCAGAAACCACCAAAAGTCTTTTAAAAAAATCCTTCATGTTCTGTAACTGATTTGTTTTTCTTAATGATTTTTCTCTAAATATTCTCAGTTGTTTGCATTTGCCTCCATGTTTCATTCCATGTTGTTTGTTGTTAGCCTCCATGATTTAAGTCCTGTATCATTATTTAACTCAATTATCTCCCAAGTATGTCCTGATAACTTATGAAGAGTCGGTGTCAAACTAACCCAGGGAATTTCTTTTCGAAGAAGAATGTTTGTCTCCTTACATATATCACTATATTTCTTTACGTTAATTTTCTAACTAGATGACATAATATTAGACAACAAGAAAATATACCGCTCTCTAATATTCTGTCATGTTTATTTAAAATGTAATCAGTAATCAGTTTTTTTTTCATAGTAAAGAAGACTTCTAGCTACATTGTCAGTTGTAGTACTACTCCCTTGGCCTAACACATCTGCAAAATTTCACTTGATTCCTATTCTTTTGCCAAATAACTTATATATATATTTTTTTTCTATTTCAAGGAAGTGGATTGTACTGGCTGTCTTAGATTGTGCGTGGGCTCCTGCAGCTATATGAACCATCACTTTCATGAAGTGGCCGAAGCCACGGAGTAATGTATGGAGTACTTGTGCAGAACTTACATTAGATCCAGTTATTGGACTTGCTGTTTGCCCACGGCGAACATCATAATCCTTTGACTTTTTAGTTAAGGAACAATCTTCATAAACTAGGACCAAAAATATCTTCTCCATGGTTTCAATGTCTCTAATTATAATGAATCCCTGTTCAACTGTACATATATCTTCACATTGTTCCTAAGATAAATCACAAATATCACAGTAGGCATTTCCAAGGCTCTGATATATATTTGATGCTTTTCTGTCAAAACAGTTTGCAACAATGTTTACTTTGATATTCAAATATTGTCCATTAACGATAATAATGGAATTCCTCTTTAATTGTTTTAATTTTCGCATTAAAAACGGTTAAAGACTGTGCATTATCATGTGATTCTTTTCCCATTTAGAGCGTCAGAGGTCTCTGTGAAAAATCTGAGTTTGGGCATATTTGTTCCTATATTAAGTTATTTCCATCAGCATTAGAGTTTAAAAGTTTCAGAGGGCAAAACATTCCCATGATTATATTATTGGTATTTACATTGTGTAGCTGATTATAAGTTTCATTTCCTCCACTGCCATCATAAACTAGTTTGATTTTAAGAACTTAATTTGTTAGTTTATTTGTGATATGGACATTTTGAAGCTTAAGAATTTGGGATACTGTGACATTGATAGACTCTGTAAAGTTAAACTCCAATATATGGTTCAGGTAGGGAAATGGTTCTCAGAGGAGTAAAAGAATTTTTGAAGTCTTAAATTTCTTTCCTGCTTGGGTAAACATTGATATTGTTAGCTCTTAGCATTTTTTTCAGTTTCTTGTATGCTAGCAATGAATCACAGCAGGTTAAAACAGCTGTCACAGTTTTTATTTGAGTAGTTTTGACACAGCTAGAGAATGAACATCAAGATAATAAGAAATCACAAACCTCTTTCACAGCATTATTATCGATTTCAGCAAGTTTTTTTGTTTTTTTTCCAGAGTTCTTCTGTTCTCCAAATTTTTGACTTTCGAGAAATACTATTCCATTTTTTTCTCTTTCTTTGCGTATCATCTTCTGAATTGTAGTCATCTTCTTGGTCATATTTTCATTAAATGACAGCAAAACCTATTTAGGAAATTATAGCATTAAATTTTTTAATTAATATCATAAAGAATAAGTTTTATGATTTATATTCACGAAAGTCATTAACGTACAAAATTAAGTTTTGTCTATAAATGCAGTAATATCTGCACTAATTGAAAAGTATTCAATAATAATTATGTCATTTTGTTATTTAAATTACATATATGTTTAAAGTTTGTGTTTACCTCCACTTTTCCCAGCTTTACTATAGCTTCTTTATTAATCTTGATACGTTTTGCAATAAACATTGATTTTTTTTAGCTTGCTGAACTGCCTAAATGTATTTGTTAAAACTAACTCTGACTAACTCTGAATGCTCATCAAGCTCGTTAATATTCTCCGATTTTTTAAACACTGTAAATAATGCTTGTACTGAATTAATCTTGTTTTCTAATATTATTTTAAAAACTTCTTGTTTTAATTAACAGAAACAAAGTAAAATATATTTTTACTAAAAGGTTTTCTTTAACAATTATTTTTGAAATCTGCAAACAAATTTCGGCCATATACACAGTTGTGCAGTAAGGGCATACGCCGCGTAAATCAGGTTTCGGGGCGGAACCCAGTTTACGTCACCTTCCTTAGGGCAAGCGCAAGAAATTGAAGAAGGGTTTTGGTGTCGTAAGAACGTTTAGAAACCAATTTTTTTTTTGGCTGCCCATAAAAAAGTGCCGCCCAGGGAAGACCACCACCCGCTTTTACCCCCCTTATTTGGGCACAGTTCACACATATGCCACAACTCCATAATACGAATCTAAGGCAAATATGACTAGTTATCACATAGCCATATAAATTTGTCCACAAAACTGTATAATCGAATCACTGTGGCATGGAACCAAAGAGGGAATTTTTTGGTACTCAGGAGTTACTGCAAATAAAGAAAACTTTCTTTTATTCATCAGCGGTTAGAAAAAAATTATCCCACTTACTTCCTATAAAAAAAGCTAATAAAAAGAGCTTGTGAAGAAAAAATAGTCCTAGCCTCACCGTATCTATCTAATAAACAGTTAGTTGTCTCTCTTATTACGGTTAATAACCAGGGGTTTGGAGTCGTAAAAAAAAAGTAACGACTCCGACTCCAGTTGTTGAAATTTTTTGAGTACAACTCCAACTCTGACTCCGACTCCAACTCCGACTCATACTCCAACTCCAAAGCAAAAAAGATTCTTTGAATTCTTTAAAAAATATTGCGCGATAAGTTGAAATTTTTTTTTTGACAAATTTATGAAACATTCTTTGAGGTTTAGTATGAACATAAGGTTAATTGAATGTTTTGTACATGCACGTGCAATACCAAGAAATTTTACTATCGGGGTCGGAGTCGCGATATTTTTTAGCGACTCCGACTCCCCTAAAATTGTCGCAACTCCGCATCTCCGACTCCGACTCCCACTCCGACTCCACAGCCCTGTTAATAACTAACAGTTAAACAAAGGGGGTGAGTATCAATGTAAAAAAATCTAAAAAATTAGAAATTCGATAATTTAAATATTAAAGAACTTGTTGGAAACTAGTTAAACTAGTTGGAAGGGACTAGAAACTAATTGGAAGGGTCAAAATGATCTCAAGAATTATTTAAAAATTTCAGACAGGAAAAACAAGATCCAGATAAGCGCTTTTAATAGTATGATTAACAACGTTAATAAAATATGATATTAAATAATTTTAGGGCAAAATATAAGGCGCACAGCTATCAATATAAGGCTTTAGATTCCGTAAAATTCACAACAGCTGTTAGTTATACTTAGAGTTCTAGAAAGTAAATTACTGAAGTTAAATAAATATTACTGAGGTTATTTATAATAAAAAAGAACACAATATAAATAGTTACATAAATTATTATAATTTATTGACATAAATTCTTGAAACTTTTGAACTATAAAATATAAAGCGGAGCGGTTGATAATAAAATTAATTTTTGTCTTTTTATTTTACATTATTTACACCTATTAATATTTAAAGAGTTTTTTTCAAGGTTTTTTATTTATGCTTTCTGCTTTTTTCCACCACTAGAAAATGAAGAAAGAAGTAAAAACTTTGCTTTATTTTTTACTTTAGAGCTCTTCAAGTTTTGTTGTAATTTTCCATTTTTATTAAATGCTAGTAGATATCCAGTTAAATCATTACGGTATATTGCCCAACCTTCTTTATCAATTACTTCTTGGAATAAAGTTTCGTTTTTTGGATCATTCTGAAAAATAAAAACATAAAAAATATTAATAATGTTATTAAACTATATCTTTTAGTTACTTAGAGCAACTTTATAATTTATTATAAGTTAGAAAAGTTATATTAAAATTAATATTATTTAAATGATATATAATGAACATAGATTATAATTAAACCGTTTGTTACAATTACATATTATTTTAATTTTTCAAATTTTGAAAACCTCAGCTTTTACTGCGCCATTTTTATCAATTGATAGATACCATGAGCCAGGTTTTCTTATACGTTTAAAGTTCACTCCAAATGACTGTACTTCTAGCTGAGCTAAATATAAAAAAAAAATTATAATACGTAATACCTAGATCTTTAATTTTACAAAAATGATTGCCGGAATTATAGGTTTAACAATGCATTAAAAGCCACAACCTAATTTGAAATTTCAAAAAAGACAAGGTTTCATAAGCTTAACAAGATTTGTGGCTTATCGTCATTAAACAAACATGAGGAATGCAGTTAATATGGAATCTTGCAATGAACGGTTACATTTATTTTAATTAGTTTGAACAAAATGCTATATATTTTGTATATAAAAAAAGCAGGATGCTTTATATTTTAATATTTTATAATAACGATAAATTGAATAAAAAACTATTATAAAGTTGAAAAATACCATGTTAGCGTCATAAAGGTATTTAAATCTTTGACATACCAGTTGTTTTGAAAAAGGGAAAATAAAACTTAATTAATTAATCGTTAAACGTCTTTTTATTAAACTTTTTAGATATTTTTCAAAATGTTGTTAAAGAGTCAAGCTGTAATTCAAAAATTTATAAATAAATAATTTCCCAAACGTTGTTACTTAATTATAAATGGGTACTTAAAATATCTGCTTTAATTGGATATTTAAAAAGCTTTTTTATCTAAACTATTTTACGTTTGTTTGAATTTATTGTTTTTGTATTTAAATTTCAAAATCTGCTTATATAAATTTTTTTTTGTGCAATAAAATAAACTTTTTTAATCGTTTTTATAATTATATAATAAATATGTATATAAATATTTTTATAAATAAGTATTTTATATTTATCCAATTGTAGTCTTTTAACAATTGCAAACAAGAACTGTAATCAAGTTATAAGATAAAAACTTTGCCAGTCTGTAATAGTAAATAAAACTTAATTACGCATTTAAATTCAATTTAAAATATAATTAAACCGTCGTCACAATCCCAATGACAACTTTTTCTATATTAGTTACAAATTTCAAAATATGCCTGAGTAATCTCCCGGATATATAAAAAAATAGTTCATATTTTTTTTGGCATGTGGAGCTTTCCAGGTTTCCTAGGAAACGGGGAAAATTTTGTCTTAAAAAGGAAATTGCTTGAAATAGATTTCGTATATAAAAACATTTTTTTGACAGTTAAAACTGTATAAAGTATTTTTAGTTTTATTATGACGCATTTTGTCTTTTGTTATAATATTATTATGTTATTTAACAAGGGTTTGTGTTTATTTTAATTTGTGAAACAAAATGCAAAATTTTTTGTCAAGCTTATCACGTGTTTTTGATTTCAATTTCAAAGTTATTCGAAAACACATTAAAAAACCACTTAACGAATTGAAAAAAAAATTAAACTTTAAGTTAGGCTACAAGCATTTAGGCCTAATAATAAAATGTTATTAAAATCTATAAGAATACATAGGAACAAGTAGTTAACAAAGATGTAAAAAAAAGTTGTTAGATTAAGAATATAAGTATAGAACGTAGTTAATTTACAAAACTAAAAAAAAAATATCAGACAATGTTTATATATATATATATATATATATATATATATATATATATATATATATATACATATATATACTTCAAAGATTGGTATTAATATCCGTATTCAATTGTTTATATTTTTATATTGAAGGCAATACTTATTAAAATTATATTTGAAAGTAATTGTAGAAGACTTTGAAAAATCAAAATATCACATGTGTGTTTTTAATTCTTATTTTAAAACTTATATTGTTACCAAGAGGTTAAATATTCGCTTTAAACTTTAATCTATTTTTGTTAATGTAAGTATCAATATAACTCGGTGATAAGCTGAGAAAAAATTTTTGCTAACCAAAACATTATATATTGAGAACTACATATATTTTATTTAATTTAAATATAATTATTAGTATTTTATATATCATTAAGGGTAAATACATCAACTGACTACTCTACGACTGAATGTATATATATTGACTGAGGGTTGAGGCTCAATGTTTAGTCACGAATATAGTCTATAAATATAATATCGAATATTTTAGCGGAAATAAGACGATTACATCATCAACTGCAAACAAGATCATGACTTTCAGAAAGTTTGAACTTTATCAATTTGCAGTTCATCCAAGTACCCGAAAACTGAAAACATTCGTTCTTATTATTAACAGTTATTGACTAAAACCAAACACTTGCTAATTTAATTAATTATAAACAAAATAGTAATAACAAATTAATATTTTATAAACTCTACTAACTATATTCAATTATGAAGCAAAAAATATTTAAATCTTTGGCGTAACAGTTAAAGTGTTTCAGTTTTAAAATGAATAAAACTTTACTTTGAAGTTTTATAAGAAAGTATGACCGAAATGTGACGCTTTTTTTCTTCAATTCAAAGTATCTCTAAGTTTTTTCTGTCTAGTCTTTTGTTTTATAATATGATAATAGGATCAAATTCTTTAGGGATTTGCAGCGTTTAGAATTTAAAGTTAACAAAATAGATAGAAAGTTAGTAATGAAGACTTAACGTTTTCGTAAGGCTTTACAAGATGCCGCAAAAACGTCTCATTGTTTTATTTATTTATTTATGAATGGGGATGTCACTTTATTATTATTTTTTCATTCAAACAATAAAATAAAAAAATAAAAACGTTACCGTACCATCAGGTGAAAATCCATCATGAGTTCCATATATTTTCCCGTCGTCTGCTATCGATAAAAAATAACCTTGCTTTGAATAGAGCAGTACGCTTTTTTTATAAGAAGGATGTTTTAGGTATTTTACCATTTCATCTTTTATTAAAGAAAGTTTTACATTTCTTGGCATCAAGGTCGGCACTGGTTGCGATAGTTTAACAACAACAAAAATTAAAAGTGTCTTCTCAAAAAAACTTTGAAGCAATATCATTTTTAAAACTAGTGTTCACTAAAAGCAACATAAATAGATATATAATTACCCAAAGTAATTCTTTAGACATTAATTAAGTATTGATGTATATATTTATACATATAATTTTTCAATTAATTACTAAAGATGATTTCTATAAATTAACGATATATTACAAATAGTTTCATTGAACAACATTCGCTATCAGCAAACAACGATTAGAATGATGAAGGTACAGGTTGTGTGATATTCTCACTTACGTAATTCGTGTAGCGGAAGTTAATTTTATACAAATGCATGTATAAACAAATGTTTGCCGAATGCGAAACATTTCCTGACAATGAAAATATCAACAATGTTACTTAGTCCGCTTTAAAAAAATTTTGGAGTGATTTCAGCATAGATTTTATTAAATAAGGACCGAATTATTATGAAAGAAAACAACTTTATTTCATTAGACTAATCTCAGAATTAATCTAACTTCTTAAAGGTTGCGCTTTCCACTAAGTGGAACGAAATATTTACACGCGCAAGATTTCTTCAAATTTATATCGCAGTATGGTCTGAATGTATTCCTTATTTTTTATTATATAAATTATTAAAACGACTTAAACAATATTTAGCGTAAAAAGGTTATATGCAACATTATGTTTTAAACTAATCTTTTTTATACTTTTTTATTTCTTTTTTTTAGGTCTGAATGTTTTGGTACTGTCCTGGTATAACTTTTATCGCTTTTTACGCATTATTTTGTAAAATTAATAAAATTGCTAAAAAAAATAATTTAAATAATAAAAATTGAAAATAAGGTTTTTATAACATAATAATAAATTTATAAACTCCTAGTATTGTATTTTATGGTTAAGAATATGAATTATTAGGTATTCAATAATTTTTGCATAAACATAGAAATAGAGTTAATGTAAATTATTATTTCTCTTTACACGCTTTCTATTGCTTTAGTTACATGACCATACAGAAATTTTGTATCTTTGATTTAAGTTTTTAAAGAATAAAAATTTTACGCTTATACATTTTTTTTTTTTTTTTTTTTTCTGATAAGTGATTTTCAGTTAGCGACTTACAAGCTCAAAAGTATGTTTAATTGTTGTTACACACAGAAATTTTTAAAATGCAAATTAAAAAATGTTTTACATAAAAAAAAACTGTGCACTGAAGGTAACAAAATGATAAATGTTACTGTTTAGGAAAAAAGTTAAACAAAAAGTTAAATAAAAAAAGTGGTGCAATCGAGACCTTTGAAAATATTAAAGTAATATGTTTAATTGAATAAAACTTATCAAAAACACGCAATTATAAATAATTACAACATATATAAAAATGGTAGTGCAATCGGAAAAAAAGAATTTTTAAAACATTGAAGTAATTGGTTTATTGAATAAAACATATTGAAAACGCATAATTATAAAAAATTACAAGGTGTTTAAGCACTAGTGGACAAGCCAAGTTAAATAAGTGTCACACAAAATATCTGTCAGCCAAAATAGCAGTCTCTTTAGATTAGATAATAGTCTTTAATGGTCGGACTTGTATATCAGCAAAACTTTTTAAAATAAAGAAATTTTTCTTGCATACGTCCGCATCGGTGTTTTCCCGTTAGAATAAGACTTTGTACCTTTTAAATTGAATTAGAATATTAGGTCAAAAATCAGGTTTTCTACACCCTTCTGAAATTCAAAACTTTGCAGTTATGCTATTAAGTCCGTCCATTAGTAATAAGCTCATAAAATATTCATGCATACTTACTAAAAAAAAAACTAATATTTTAAGTGACCATGTACTTCGTGTAAAAATAATCTTTCCGCGGTAAACTTAATGTAAATTAATGAATATAAGTTTTTCACTAACCAGTTGCTTTAAAAAATTTGCGTCTTAAAAGCTATAGAAAAAAGCTTGGACTAAAGCAAACAGCAAGAACTATATTGACGGGAAAAATTGGGGAAGAATAAGGCGGAGATAGCTTTATGCATAAACAAAAATAACCACGATAATATGTTCAAACGAACGTATTTTAATCCTATAGGCGGATTGAAATTTAATACGTTTGAAAAATGTTGGCAAAATTGTAATACCTGCGTCATAAAACGCTATAGGAAACAAACAGAATGTTTTTGTTTTGGCCATTTTGAATTTTTTTGGCCATTTTGTTTCAAGTCAATATTTAATTTTTTAAACAAAACTTTTTTCTTCCTTATTTTTGAATAACAACATATCTATTATTTTTTATTTATATTCATTTCATGGTACACTGATAGTGCTCAAAGTTTAAGTCTTGCACATTAACTTTTCCAATAATAATTTTTGATTTTAAACTCAATAGCTAACTGACAGTGGTTTAGTTGTGAACTGCTTTTAAGGAGAAGGTGTATAAAAGTTAATTTAAAAACTAAAAAGCGTTTGACATAACGAGAGGCGTTATCTACCAAGGTAATTTAAAATAATAATAAGTTTTTATTAATAATAGCCTTATGTTAAGATTATTTTGAAAATACATTCCATCTGTTTTTTTTTTTTCTTTTAGGAAAATAACAACTTTAATTCGATTATGAGAAATTATTAAAGAGGAGAAGAAGGACCCATGCCAAAGTTTCAGATTGTTATAAGTTTTGCGCTTAGTGCACAATATTTTGGGAATAAGTGAAATTTTGCACATGATTTTGCAACAAACATCTTTTATGCTAATATTTTAATATTTAAGAAGTCTATATTATTTTTTGCAGATATATCCACAAAGGTTTTTTAAAAAAATACATTAAAGTCAAAAATAATAACGCATTATATATATAATGCGTTATATTATATTATATATATATATATATATATATATATATATATATATATATATATATATATATATATATATATATATATATATATATATATATATATATATATATATATATATATATATATATGTATATATATATATATATATATATATATATATATATATATATATATATATATATATGTATATATATATATATATATATATATATATATATATATATATATATATATATATATATATATATATACCTTATTTATTTTTAATTTTATGTAGATAAAGTAATAAACTACATTTATTTATCATCCAAAATATTAAAATACATTTCAAAATTTAAGTGATGGTGTACTGCAAATTACGAAAACATTGTATTATTGTTTTTGTTCCATGAATAACTGGTGCAACGTTTATAAAACATTGTTTAGATCTCGCTGTTTAACAAATACAAAAACCTAGTCAGCTGTTCAATCAAGTCAACAGTTTTATTTTTTATTGTTTTCTTCAATTTACATTATGTGATTGTGTGTCATAAACACAATTACTTATTGTCGAATGAAGAGCATTTTATTAGTGGCAGAAACACGTGGTTGATTTCTTGTGTTTTAAATGACGTGTGTTTTCTTACTGATAAGTATTTGGAAAATTATTCCCAGAAAAATAATGAGATCATTTTATAAAAACTTCTTTTTTCAAACCAAGAAAACAATCATTTCCTTTTATAAATAAAGTTACTGTTGAGTATTTACAAGTAAAAAAAAAAAAAAATTTAATTTAACATTTAATTTACTTTAAATTAAAAGCTTATGAAAATAAAATAACCGTTATTTAAAAAAAATTGCCGATAGCTGTCGTTTGCAATTTCAATTTTCTGATGAATAAATAAAATAAAATTATCAGGAAAGAATAAGTATAAAGATATTTTATTAGAAAACATTATGTAGGAAAAGATTTTTTTTAGAAATTTGTCAAAAAAAGAAAAAACGATCAGTTAATTATTTAAAATGTTGTAATTACCAAAATTGTGACGTAACGGTTTATTATTGTAGTTTTTTCAGCTTAAGAACGATGTGACGTGTAGCAAAAGGCTACAGAAGATGGAAAAACGATTATAAAGGTTTAAATACATTATATTTTTTTTCTTTTTAGGAGGGGTAAATTTATTTTTACTTTCATAATGAAGGTTTATGCATATTTTAAGATTTAATTTAAAAACTTGAACTAAACTTTGTAAAACTAAAGTTTTAACTTTTAAAGTTAGTGGTTTAAAACTATTGAAAATTGACCAAAATTCTTTATACTTCACATTACATACTTAAAAAAAACCTATTAAAAGTTTATATTAATATATCAAAAAAAATTTGGTTTATTCAATAAAAAATCAAACACCTCTCCTTTTTTCCAGGAAATTTTTGAAACGAGCTTAAGAGATATTTCGCGTCACGGTAAGGAAGGAGGCGTGAACTATTTAGTTAAATGCACTTCCGCGGTGCTCTGTGACAAGACCGTTAGGACTTCTTGGGGCACCTAAAGTAACAAAAAAATTTAAAAAAAAATAATGTTAATAAGCATAATCTTAATAATAATAAGCATTTCTTGTCAATATCAAAGATTTTTAAACTTAATTTATATAAAAAAAGTTATTCAAATATATATATATATATATATATATATATATATATATATATATATATATATATATATATATATATATATATATATATATATATATATATATATATATATATATATACTTATAACTCATTATTTATTCTATAGTTTTTTTTTAGATAATTTATCTTTCTTTAAAGACAATATAAGTACAATATAAGTAAGACAATAAAGGACAAATAAAGACAATATAAGTACAAATAAGAACACATGTTTCGAATACATTGCATTCGAAACCTTCTTTTATCGCGTAGCATTACAATTAAATAAATTATTTTAAAAATATATAGTAAATAAATTGGTTTTTATTTTTTATTTTTTACTTAATACTGAAATTAACCTCTCGTTTGCAAGAAAACTTAAAAAAATTAACAATTATTATTACAGATAATAAAGCACAATTATTAAAAATAAGAAGCCACTATTATTATGTTATTAAAAATATCAAATAGAACAAAGTACTTTTTCGGAAAAATAGCAAGAGATTTTTTATTTTAAACGAATATATATAACTTTTAAATGTGTTAAAAGTAGCAAGCTTGGTACTTAGATAAATTAAAAATTGCATTTAACTAT